ATACCGGAAAGCACCATTCGGGCAGCGTGTGACGGTTTCATTGGGCGTTTGAAGGCCATTATTCGTGCCAAAGTTGACCAATTCGAACAAATCTAAACTTATTCTAAAATTTAATGCTATTTCCGACATTTTTTGCTTTCATTCAAAAAAAAATTTAAAAAAATGTAAAAATTATGGCGTTTGATTTTGTTGATATCTAAGATTTTTGTATGAAAAACTTTTATTGAACTTTTAGGAAAAGTTCTCATTTTCTTTTGCTTAATACTTTTCGTCCACCACAAGAAAACAGAATTTGTATATTTTTTTTTAAATTTGTCATACTTAATTTTTTTTTTAATTTTGTTGTAAAAATTACAAATTTTTTTAAGATGAATATATATTAAATTTTTTTAAGATGAATACATTATTATATTTAACCCTCTTTCTCTGTCATGGAATCACCCATACTCAACAAAGAGCCATTGATTGTTTTCATACAAGCGAAACAAGTTTTTTTATTGGTATTACACGACAGAGAGAGAGAGAGGAAGAGCATTAAGAAATATAATAACAACAAGAGCCCCATAGCCCCAATGAGGAATAAAAAACAACAACAAGTATTTTTATGGCTGGCAAAAACCGCTTAAATGAAATCAAATGAAACGAACAACAGTTCTGTTTTAACTTTAGACAACAACGGTAATATTTGCTCGGCAGCGGTGCGCGTCATTTCCTCACTCACATAACACACCAATCGCCAAGAGAACACAATAGAAAAAGATCCTATTGGAATTCTCCCATACTCTCATTGGAAAATGAAAAATAAATAAAAAAAATAATCCCCATAAAACAATAAATAACAAGAAATTTGCAAAATAATTATCAAATTGCATAAAGAAAAGGGAATAAAATCAACATAAAATTATAAATAAAATCAATAACACAACAAGAAATAAAAAAAGTGTAAATGAAATGCAAACGTCATAGAAAGCCAAATGCAACAAATAGAAGAAAACGAACACAACAAGCAAGCAGATTGCGGTTTTGCGTGCTTTTCTCTCAAAAGCAAATGATGAACGACCTTTAATACAAATTCCACTGAAAAGGCCAGTCAATAACATAAAACCAAAAAAATAAGAAATTGAATTGAAGATAAATAAATATAAAGAATATATTGATGATAAAAAATAACAAACAAAAAAATTGGAGTCTAGTTTGTTTTGTTGTCAAGAAAAAAAACTTCATTCTGTCATGAATTCAATTAACTTGGTGGTACTCTCTCTCTCTGACTCTCTCTGACTCTCAGTGTTTTACTGAGGACCAAAGAAGGAAATAAAGCATTTATTTACATAAAAAAGGAAATTTATATCAAAATTCAATTAAATATAATGAAAATAAATGATATTATTATAAAAAAGAGTAGCATGAAAGGATTGCAAAAAAGGAAAACAATGACACCTTTTATTCCTTGGTTTCCCCCTCTCTCACTCCCATAGTTTTTTATCTCTCATTATGAGGAGTATGTAAAAAAAGCGGGAAATAAGACGTTTTTCATATAAATACGTGTAAAAGTCAATGGAATATAACAAACAATAATTAAATCAAGCGTAATTGTGATAACTGCCCAGGAATTAATGGACTTTTGCAAAAAAAAAATTAAGCAAAATAAAACCCCTGCTCCTTTATTCGCTCTCTCTCCCTCTCTCTCTCTCTTGATTGTCAGATCTTTCATAAACAAAGTAATAAGGAGGAAATAAAGAATTTAAATAAAATAAAAGAAAAAATAATGAAATGAATATTCCTTTATTAAAAGTGACATGAAAAAAGTGGAATTTTGTAAAAAAAAAACAAAGGATTAAAAATCAAAACGATCAAAATTCGTACTTCTTCCTTCTTTCTCTCATGTTCCACAAAAACCGGTAAAATGAATATTCTTTCATAAAAAGTGCCTTCAGTTAATGGTTTATTGTAGAAAATGAAATCAATTAACCAAAGAAAACAAAACATTTGACTTTAAATATCAAATCGTATTAAATACTACAAATGCAAACCACAAAAAAAAAATTACATTAATTTCATGAATAGTCAATGAAAATCCATTGTAACTTGACACTAGCTCCCTGGGCTATGGTTTTGTTATTGCTTTCATGATTAATTTATCAAGTGACTAAATAATTTCCAGAATTCGTTTGCATTTTCAGTAGGTTTTTATTTTCAGTTTTTTTTTTTTTAATTTTGGAAATAAATAAGAAACTGCTATGAGAGGCGTTAACGACCATTGGACATTCTATATGCCACACTGAGGACTCTTGAAGTGCCAAATCTTTATCGGAACTCAATTTAACGATCTTGGAATAAAACCAGTAAATTTAGAATATTTGCGAAAAATTGTGAAAATTTCTCTCCTTTAACCCAATGTATTTCCCAATTTTAGTTCCTCTTTTTTGTGCAAAGCTCAACAAAAAAACTGTGATCTGTATTTTTATTTAAACTATTCGGTGTTGTTAATTTGCAATTATCAAGTAAATTTGCCTTATCGCAAAGTGCTAAATTGATAATATTTGTTTAAATAAAAGCCTGTAAAAAAGCAAAAGCATGACTTAAATTCCAGAATATTTTCAAAAAATATATATAAATACTGATTTCAATGGAGAAAAATTTAGCAAAGAAAGAACAACCGCTTGGACTAGCATAAAACAGTAAAATTTAAGTAATTATTTTCGATAATTGCTAAACACTGAAAAGTCAAGGAAATTTACCCTGTGGCCCTACACCTTCATAATTACGTTGACACATGTAAACGTGGTATACATGCATTGTGGATTTGATTATAAAGAAACAACTTAATTGTCAAATAATATTCTCCAAAATCTCTAAAATTTAAACATTCGTTTCTAAAAGCAACTCAAAACACTCATTTGCGAATTCATAATTTCTTTGATTCATTCATAATTTCTTTGGTTCGTGTGAACATAGCATAAAGCATAGATAGCCAAAATAAGCAAAAAGGGACAATGTTTATGAGAATCGTAAAATAACTGTCTTGCGTCGGAGTATAACTAATTAAACAATTTAATAATACCCTCCAGAAATTCTAAAATTCATATATTCATTTGTAATAGCTGCTAAACACGATTGTCAATTCAATTTACCCTGTGGCCTGACAACTTTATAATTATTTATAATAATCAAAATAATGAAAGATAAATTCTTACAAAAACTCTAAAATAACTACCTTACGTTAAATTGCCAATTATTGGATAATTTTGAAACAATTTTATTAATAATTCTCCCCATTCAAACATGCACTTGTCATAATTTCTTAAAAACCCAATAGTCAATGCAATTCACAATGTGGCCAGACGCCTTCATAAATTCATTTATACGTGTGAACATGGTCCTAGGCTAAGAAAAACAAAATAATGAAAAAGAAATTCTTACAAGCACTCCCAAAAAATAACTACCTCACAGTAAATTACCAATTAGTGGATAATTTTGAAACAATTTTATTAATAATTCTCCCCATTTAAACATGCATTTGTCACAGAATCTTAAAAATCCTATGGTCAATGCAATTCACACTGTGGCCAGGCAACTTCCTAATTTCATTGCTACGTATGAACATGGTCTTAAGTCAAAACATCATGTCAAAGAGTAGCATATTTATTTATGTTTCTCCCTAATCCGCACCACAAACAAAGAAAAACACAAAATACGACAAACACCTTAGTTGCTGCCTGCAAGAGATAATGGTTGTCAAAAAAAAAAAAATCGCAAGCAAAAACTAAACTCTGATAATTGTTATAGGAATGATTAAAATGTCAGCAGCAACAACACCCTTCACAGCACAAACGTTGAAAAGAAAACATTACTAACCTCCTCCTAATAATGTTCTCTTCTCTTGATAAGATTATGAGGGCGAAAAAGATTATCACTTGTGTAAAACAACAAACATAAACAATAAAATCAAACGCAGCAGCAGCAGCAGCAGCAGCAATAACAACAAGAACTAAAATAAAACACATACTATCTAACTATTATGAAGTGAACCCAAGGTAGATCTAACAGGTAACCGCATCGGCGAATTGCTACAACAAAGCAACTTTTGTGGTCCCCTCAAATGTCAAAATTGACATCTAAGGCGAAAAACATAGATTCGCCATGACATTTAAAGGTTGCGGCAAATTTGTTTCAACCAATCAGAAACGAGGTGTTTGTTTACATTTTATTTTGTGTGCCTCTCGTCGTAAACGAACTTCGCAATAAAAGTTTTTATTGTAAAACAAATAAGAGTAAAATAAGTATTAATTGTAGTATTGCGATATTTTTTAAACCAAGAAACTTATAATGACTATATTTTACTGGTTTAAACCGAAAGTTTTCCGGAACTGCAAATGACAAGAGTCGAATTCTTGCACCACTTCCCGTGATGTGCTTTGGGAATCTTATATGTTGAGGCTAACTTAATTCTTAAAGCTGCACTCCATTCTATACTCCTTCCTTCATTTTCTTTTAATTATTTTTACTGGTTTCACTCTTAACTTGCTCTTAAATTATTTGAAATATTATATATTATAAAAATATTTTTAGGGAAGACAACATAAACAAATTTGTTGTTGCATTCATTTAGGGCGAATTCTCCATTACAACAATTTGTTTTGACATTTAATGGTGCCGTCAGCTGGGCTGATGCGATTACCTAGTACATCTACCTTGAGTGAACCCCTAGAGAATTGCTGCTTGCTAACCGTTTAAAAGTAATGAGCATGCAATTGATTTTTATGAGTGGGAGAGAGAGAGAGAGAGAGCAAGACATTGGGGAGAAATTTCCTGGAGAGTAGAAATTCATGAATGAAAATGCAAGCAAAGAAAGTGGGGATTGATTGGTAATAATTTTGGCTCCCCCATAAAGACAGACAGAGAGAGAGTGGAGACAACAGATCATGATGGCCCGTTATTATTCTTTAAAACAAAACAATTACGTGTTCATAGAGGGTTTGCTTTAATCAGCTGAGGAAATTTGCGTAGACAAATGACATGGGGGAATATGAAAGGTTCGATTGTGTTGTGTGTCGGGCTTTGGACAACAACACTCACTCTCACGCCGTTAATGGTGTTGTTGATGTTGTTGTTACAGTCGACGTCGTCCAACACTCATATGTTGGTGGTCAAGAAAGTAACAAATAGAAAAAATAAATAAAAACGTTAGTTGAGTAATGGCAGGCAAACGGACAGGTTGAGCACAAGTTAAACAAACAAACAAAAAAACAATAATACGAATCATAATTAATAAACAAAAAAGAACAATCCGACCAATAAAAGGCAAACGAATATCCCCAATTAAAAAATGCTGCATTAAAACAATTGTGAAACGAAACCTAACTAACGAAAATTTAAATATCCGCTAATTACACAAAAAAAGAGAAGGGAAACGAATGAAAGAACAATTTTGTGACCTATGGAATGGAAAATTTTTAGTGTTTCAAAATAATAAAATAAAAAAAAATAAAGTAATTATTTTCTATTACAGTGAGATGACATGAATACATAGCAGACATGTATTTTCATAAAAAATAACAAAACACACAAAAATTAACACAACATAAAAATTGCACAAAAATCGCCTGACAACAAATTGCAAAATATTGCAAAAAATCAAGAAAACAAAAAAAAACCTCTACAGAAGAAGGAGATCAAAAGAAAATCAACACAAAATGCATATTTCATACAAGTTTGGATTATTTTTAATATTTATTATAAGTTTAAGGTGGGTATTGAAAATTTGTGTAAGAAGTTTATATTATTTTACAGAATAATGACAAAAATGAAGTCCCTGTGACCCAATTAGGAGAGAAAAATTAAAAAAAAAATTCCCATAAAAAAATTTCGGTTGAAAAAAGAAAAGTAGATGACCTCTGGATCCATCCAGGCGACCGTAGACGGCCCCTGGGTCCATCTACTCCACAGTAGACGTCCTCGGGGACCATTTACTCTGAAGAAGACGTCCTCGGGGACCATCTACTCTAAAGTAGAAGTCCTCGGGGACCACCTTCTCTACAGTAGACGTCCTCGGGGACCACCTACTCTACAGTAGACGTCCTCGGGGACCACCTACTCTACAGTGGAAGTCCTCGGGGACCATCTACTCTACAGTGGAAGTCCTCGGGGACCATCTACTCTACAGTAGACGTCCTCGGGGACCATCTACCCCACAGTAGTCGTCCTCGAGAACCATCTACTCTACAGTAGGCGTCCTCGAGAACCATCTACTCTACAGTAGGCGTCCTCGAGGACCATCTACTCTACAGTAGACGTCCTCTGGGATCATCTACACTACAGTAGATGTCCTCTGCGACCATATACTTTGCAGTAGACATCCTCTGCGACCATCTTCTTTACAGTAGACGTCTTCGGGGACCATCTACTCTACAGTAGACGTCTTCGGGGACCCTCTACTCTACAGTAGACGTCCTCGGGGACCATCTGCTCTACGGTAGACGTCCCCTGAGATCATCTACTCGACAGTAGACGTCCTCGGAGATCATCTACGCGACAGTAGACGGCCCCTGGGTCCATCTACGCGCCAGTAGACGTCTTCTAGGACCACCTACTCTACACTAGACGTCCTCGGGAACCATATAATCGACACTAGACGGTCCCTGGGGTCCATCTACTCTACAGTAGACGACCCCTGAGCCCATTTAGAGCTACTTCATGGTTTTTATACCCTCCACCATAGTATGGAGGGTATATTAAGTTTGTCATTTCGTTTGTAACACCTCCAAAAATAGATATTAGACCCCATAAAGTATATATATTCTTGATCTATGTCGATTTAGCGATGTCCGTCCGCCTGTCCGTCTGTGGAAATCACTCTAGCTTCCGAACGAAATGAAGTAGATTGATAAAAATGGGTCATGTAGGTCTATCTTTTGGTATAGCCCCCATATAACGTTACCTCCTGATATTCGGTATTTTTATGATTTTAGCGACATTATTTACCGGAATTGTTTCAAATTTGGTATTTGAAGTTCGAAATGGATACTACAGCCTATGACAGGAGATTGTCTGTTCACGTCCACGTCTTCGTATAGCCCCCATTTAACGGTACCTCGGTATTTTGATGATTTTAGCTGCATTATTTCCAGATTTTTTTTTAAGTTTCGCATTTGAATTTTGTGATGGCTTATGACAAAAGTTGCCTATGCAGGTCCATGTCGTCGTATCGACCCTAATATTTTTAAGATTATAACAGAATTTTTTATTTTTTTAAATTGCTAAATTCATTCCAAATGGACTTACGCTTTTTTACTTGTTTTTTTTTTTTTTAATTTGTTTTGAAATGTTTTTACCTTGCATTTCAAAATTGACCTTATTTCAGGAGTAACAAGTAATTATTACAAAAATAGACTTTTCATTTGAAAAAAAAAACACAACAAATTATTGCTAATATGGTTGTTGTTGCTGACAAAATTCCTTGTTGTGCGACTCAAATAAAATTCTTTTTAAATATTACCGCACCACACTGGCGGCTGATATTCCATAAAAAAAGAATACAAATAAAAAACAACAAAACTGGCAAATAAACATAAAATTTAACAACTATTTTGGGGATATGGGGCCAGGAAGTGGCTGGCGGGGTTTTAGACGAACTGCGATAAGTCAATAACATTGAAAATTCACACAACAAATTGAAATTATTTTTTTTTTCAAAGTGATAGAAAACTGGCCAAAATGAAGTGTAGATAAACCACCTGAACTTGAAGGTGTTTCGAAATAATATTTAGAAAAAAATGAAACAGTAATTATTATTATTGTGATAATAAATATACTTGGGGCCACACACATTCGCACACACGACCTGCCTGTATTTTTATGACTCAATTCGAAGTGAATTATTAAAAGAAGTCGAGTAATGTTGAGTGTAAATTTCACACAAAAATTAATATTCGATCAAAGTCCAGAAGTAATTGCTTGATATATATTCTATAAAGTAAGTGTTTTGTTTTTGCTTGTTTGATATCAAAAAAAAAACCTTAAGCTAGCCGTTGCTGTTACCACACACGTTGTTGTAGAATTTATAGTAAAAATGCGATATAATTCCATTTTCTAATTTTAAAATGGAATTTCATGAAATAACAATTATTTCCATTCTCAGATGTGACGTTCCAAGCAATGGACCTTTAGACTTTTGGCGCAAAAACAGCAACACAAGCGTTTGGGTCGGAAAGTTTCGATTTTTGTGATTTCTGTGTGTCTGAATGTCTGATGGTGATTCGTTTTTTTTTTTTCATTAAAATAGTTCAAGTAAGTTGAACCCCATATCGGCGGACGAGAGCATGTAAGTCTGCCTGACAGGTTGAATTAAAAATAGCAACAAACATGCACAAGTCAAAAAGGAGAGAAAATCTAAAGAGAAATTTGTCAACAAATTCAGGGATTTGATTTGCAATCTTATATTTTATCTGAGCTGATTTTCAAATATGTTTCCAATAGTTTAATTATTTGGATTTTTTTATAATTTTTTTTCTCGGAGAATATTTTTGAAAATTTTGAAAAAAAAAACTCTACCCACGATGTTGACATTTTCCATTAAGAAATTCTTTAGATCGAACAAGTAAAAAAGCTGTAAGTTCGGCCGGGCCGATCTTTGAATACCCTCCACCATTTGGAACGATTTTGGTAATTTTCAAAAAAGTATCCGTCCGTAATCCTTTAAAAATTCTGTTAAAATCTTAAAAATACCGAATGTAGCCGTTATATTAGGGTCTATACGACGACGTGGACCTGCATAGGACCTGCAAGTTTTGTCATAAACCATTACAATATTAAAAAGCGAAACTTGAATAGAAAAAATCTGTGAATAATGCAGCTAAATTCATCAAAATTCCGAAAATAGGGAGGTATGGGGGATATATGAAGATTTGGACCTGCAGAGACAATTTTCTGTCTTAGGCTGTAGTATCGATTACGAACTTCAAATACGAAATTTGAAACAATTTCGGTGAATAATGTCGCTAAAATAACCAAAATACCGAATATTGGGAGGTACGGTTATATAAAGGCTATACGCAGGCGTAGACCTGCAGAAATAATTTTCTGTCTCAGGCTGTAGTATCCATTACGAACTTCAAATACGAAATTTGAAACAATTCCGGTGAATAATGTCGCCAAAATCATCAAATCACCGAATATCAAGGGGTACCGTTATATGGGGGCTATGAGAAGACGTGGACCTGCACAGACAATTTTCTGTCATAGGCTGTAGTATCCATTACGAACTTCAAATACCAAATTTGAAACAATTCCGGTGAATAATGTCGCCAAAATCACCAAAATACCGAATATCGGGAGGTACGGTTATATGAGGGCTATACACAGGCGTGGACCTGCAGAAACAATTTTCTGTCATAGGCTGTAGTATCCATTGCGAACTTCAAATATTAAATTTAAAACATTTCCGGTGAATAATGTCGGTAAAATCATCAAAATACCAAATATCGGGAGGTACGGGTATATGAGGGCTATACGCAGGCGTGGACCTACATCACCCATTTTCCATACCAAAAGTCTTGCAGATATAGTACATATTTGAGTAAAATGTTATTAACCTACTTCATTTCGTTCGAAAGCTAGAGTGATTTCCACAGACGGGCAGACGGACGGACATCGCTAAATCGACATAGAATTTTATGCGGAATATTCGTATATTTATACCTTGTTGGGTCTAAAGTGTATATTTCGAGGTGTTACAAACGGAATGGCAAACTTAATATACCCTCCTCTTCAAGGTGGCGGGTATAAAAATATGGAGATAGTTTTCAAATTTGAGGTGTAAATAAAGGTAACTTGATTTGTGACACACTGCACGTGGTTAAACTTCAAAGAGACCATTTAATTTATTGAAAAAAAAATTCAAAGGAAATTTCCTCTCTTTTTCCTTTGAAAATAACAACACAAACGTACTTTTCTTTTTTTAATAATAAGTAAATTAAAATTTAAATAAAAAAACTTTAAATAAGATTTATTTAAAATTCTTATCTCCTCACTAAAAAAAATTATTCATCATGACCGGACAGATAATTTTTCCCTTTAAATTTCCATGTAATTTAGTTTTCTCTCAAATGAATCATTTTTAATTTAAACACTTTGAGTCGTCTTAAGTTGTAAAGAAACACGACAGCTAGCTAATTAAAATTCAAGCTACGTATTGAATATTCCACTCACATTTAGTCTGGTCCCTTATTTAAAACCAAAAAAACACTTTCACACTCACACATCTTCCCACAACACTCCTTAGAACGGATACTGTCTACGTCATTTTCCACAATTTTTCTTTTCACATTTCATTGACTTGTCTTTGGGCATAAGGAATGTATTGGCTTCTTCTTCCTCATGTCTTTGAAGCACCCTCAAAGGTCCTTATATCCGTTTTCCCCAACAAATGTGTGCTAATGAAATGAGTTCTTTTTTCCTTCTTTTTCCTTGCTTATCTCCCATTTTCTATTGACATTTGTAATGTGGGATTATTTACAAATGAAAACGTTGTATTGTTTTTGTTTGTGGCGTGGAAAGGCATCATTTTATTTTGTGGCAAATATAAAAAACAATATTTGTTATTTATGGAGAAAACTAAATATTTAAGGCGCCATCATCGTCATTTGTAAATTTGAGTTACAATAATTTAATAATTTATGTTTTTTTCCTCTCTTATTACAGTTTCTGTCACACACGGGCTGCCCCAGCCCAAAATCAAACCTCAACAAATCAAGAAGACTATCCCGATGATGATTATGATGAATATTATGATGACACAGAATACCAAGGCAAACAGCAGGCAGTGGCATCTCCACCCTCATCGCATGCAACAGCCACCTCCACAGCAGTGAATTTGGCAAATTCCCTGTTTAATTTGTTTAGTGGTGGAGATAAACCAGGTAGTGATCCAAAAAAAAAAAAAAAAAACACTAACAAATATTAAAATTTATCTAAAATTTCTTTTCAGATCACCCACCGCAACGCAGCAATCATGTGGTGGAGCCAGTCTGCCCGAAATCATGTCTGTGCCTGGAAGATTTCAAATACATTGATTGCTCCAATGGCCGTTTGACCGAAGTACCCCATGACCTACCAAATACTGCTGTTATTTTAGATTTAAGCCACAATCGTATTAAGGAAATTAAGCCAAGTGATTTTTCACATCGCCTCAAATTGCAAGAGATTAATTTAAGTAATAATTTATTGGAAAATGTCACCGAAGAGGTAAGGCGTTCAATTTTTTTCCCACCACCCAAATAAAAATAATTCCATTTTCTCCGTTAACAGATGTTTGAAGATTTGCCACGTCTCCAACGTTTGAGATTATCCTCAAATCTTTTGACAGCCATTGAGCCCGATACATTCCGCGGTGCCAGCGATCTAAGTTTATTGGATCTGAGTAATAATCCCATCCACCTGCCGGCTGATGCCTCATTTCTCAATCAGCCATCGTTGTTGGAATTGAATTGCCGCAATTGTTCATGGAGAGAAATCTATGAGGATACATTTAAGAATACTCCACGATTGACAGCATTACGGATAGATAATAATGATTTCAATAAGGTGAGTTTTGGCTGGAATAGATTTAAACCAGGGTAACAGGGCCCAAGGGCATTTTTAGAAGAAAAATTTGGAAAAATGTTTGAAGCTGTTCATATTATTCACACTCCGCCCACGTCACCACCCAAGTCATATTTTTGGGAGTTATTTAGGCAAATGTCTTCTCAAACAGCACCAAAAAAGGAAATTAAAAATAGTGCTAAATTGAACCGGTTTGATCCATTTATCCTTATCAATAAAGGGATAAGTTCCGTCTTTCGTTCCAAAATCTATTTAAAACTAAACGCGAAGAATTATTTTAGATTATGTTTTTAAAGAAAATTTGTGTGTTTTGAACTTCCCTCTACAAAAAAATAAATTTTTCATTTCCTAAAACGTGTCTTTATAAATCCTTAATTAAAAATTATTAAAATTTTTCAATTCTTAGATTTATCAGACAATCCAACGCCAAGTTACCGCCTAAAATGCCTTGGCAATTCCTCATCATATCTAAAATTCTCATCTGGCAATGCCGCTATCCAGCGACGATAAAAGCAGCTTTCACACATATGTTTGACAACAAAAAAAGCTTTATTGCTATCTTTGCATTGTCTGGTTTTGTGTTTTGTTTATTTTGTTATTGACATTCGTCCATTTAAGTCATTCTCATTCTCTTCCATTGACGTTCCATTCGACCTTTCTCACTAGTTTTTTTCTCTATTCACCATTCGTTTTCGTTGTCTTTCCATAAACAGAAAATCAATACCCGGGCGTTTATACCCCTAAAAAGTTTAATAAAACTACGCGTTCCGGAATTGGACCAAAAAAGTACCGAGGAGCTATGCAATCTGTTGAAATTCATCGACAACATTAGCTTTAAACGTTTCGAAGTCAGCTGCTATGAATTGGTGTTGGGTGCCACCTACAATGAGAGTATAATCTTGGTGACAGATCCACCATACCGACAGCCGACGTCAGTGGAAATTGAAACAAGTACAACGACCACAACAGAAGCCATAACAGCATCAACTGTAAGTGGGGATAGTATAAAATCAACAACAACGGCTGCAGCTGCTGGAAACGTAGCAAGTGGTAGGTGAAAAACAACTAAAACAATAGAAGTTCTGTTTAGATATAAATATTTGCTTTTCTCACACCAAACTTAGATAAGAAGGCCATGGCGTCAAGTTCGACCACACTCACGCCCGAGGTGCTGTTGGCAGCTGACAATGAAACCGAATTCGTGAAGGCCTCTGTGGGCCTGGCCGGCAGTAATCAACCAACCAAAACCGATGTAAAAGATGAAGAAGAGGCCTATAAGGTACCCATATCACAGGAGGCCATTAATCAAATGTTGATTGGTAAAGTTTTTGTCACCAACAAAAAGAAAACTATTCCTAATGTTGTGTCCATTCATTTCCAGGTCTCATGATAATCTCCGTAATTGGCATTATAATTGGTGTACTCTGTCGCAAAGATGTTTGGGGCATGAAGACAAAATGTTGCCGCACCAAAAAACCCGAGGAAAATAAGGCCGTTGAAAGTAATGGCCAGGCCCCGGAAGAAATACCACTGAATAAGTTACCTTAAGTTGAAGGAAAGAAGAGAAGGGCCAATGGAATGCGGGAGAAGTTACTTCCATTCCATTTCAAATCAATCACAGAGAAATGTATTTATTCCATTCTAAAGATAGTGACAACAAAACAAAAACCCAAAAATAAATTGTAAATATTTATTATTTTTAAAATAATTCGTAGTGAAAAAAAACACATACATAGACATGATTTTGCCATCTATGGAGGAAAGTAATAGAGGATATTTAAGAAAAAAAAAAGAATAGAATTAAAATTAATTAAATAATTAACAAATTAAACCCAAAACTTTGTGAAAAAGGAAAATTTGAATGAATTATTAAATCCGATTATAATGACGGAAATATCAGTTTTTGGTAAGATATTAGGTTTCTCCAATGTATCTTGCTAACAAAGAGAAAATTAATGTTTTTAATAATCACCTTATATTTCCCAACCATAGATGGTAAATGAGGTGTTTAAAATGAATATTTAAAAAGCCTTGCCAAAAAAGAACACTAAATTAAACAGCATCTAAACAATAAGTTTCTTGTTGAAAACAAACCTTTAAAGAAAACTACATTCGAATTTAGCAAAAAACATATTTGCTAAATAAAACTTTATAAATAATACATTATTCAGAGTTTTTATCTGAACTAAGTCCTTCAAGCCTTGTATAAAAATAACAATGTTTTCTTCTTTTTTGTAAAGAAAAAACTAATTTTGTTTACCACTGATCTTTTCTACTGTTATTTTGGAGAACAAACATAAATGACTAATCAATTTTTTTCTTAATTTTAAGTTTATATTTTAGCTCTATTCAATTTTACCAAATCTACATATCATAAGTTTTGTTTTTAGAATTTTGCTATTTTTATCTGTTGGTGTAGTAACTAGTCTTGTAATTTTCTTATTTTGAACAATTTTTTTTTTTTTTTTTGTATTTTCACCTTGAATTTCCATTTAGAAAAACACTGAAGATTTTGCTTATATTTTGATATAAAACAAAACTATATATTTAAACATTTACTATTTAATAGTAAGCTTAGCACAATTGTTGTAAAGTTATAGGGAAGAAAATAAAGATTTTTTGAAAAATACCCAAATGAAATTTGAAGTTTGGGGAATATGACAAACGGATTAAACGTAACGTGTCAGTTAGTGCTGGTTTTTTCATATATATTAATTTATTTTCTTATATTTCATATAAATTTTAAATATTGGAAATCTGTTCTATCGACTCTTCGGAGGAAAATCCTAAAATACGTGCCTTTCTTCCATGAGAAGATTCTTAGATATTCGTCGAAAAGATCTATTTATATTCATTTTGAATGTTTTTTTCATTCTGTGATAAATATATACTAACATCCGTTCATCATTTCCATTTACCTTTTGTAATAGAATAACAAAAGTTCTTATCGATCACCGTTTATCTTTAAAGACCTCTTGTGTGTTCATACAAGGCCCTTAAAGGGATGATCGATCAAAAGAAAACACTTCCAAAATCTTTGTATTTAGAAGAAAATATATTTTTTATTTAGAAGAAAATATTTTTATAGGATCTGTTCCTGTAAGACAATACGAAAGCATGTTATTAACATATACAGTGGTTATTTAATTATGTTCTCATTGTATTTCAACACTTGCTTAAAAAACGACCCAAAAACTTTGGTATAATTGGCCTTTTAGGTTCGTATTTTCAACCCTCTATATTGCTCTGCAGATTTGTCAACATCCAAAATATAATGTCGAAGCTTAAAATTGAAAACTAATTGGATTACATTGCTTAATTTCTATAAAACTTGCATCAATCAACAATTGTCAGCAAAACAAGTAGGGCACACTAGATACGAAAAAGACACTTGGCATTGCCATAATCAAATTATTTCTTTACCATGATGTGATTGGAAAAATTATCTCACGAGGAAAATTATATCCTTGGAAATGATACTCCATGCAGATATTTATGATTGATCTAAGGGGGGTGATATTTTAGGGGGGGGCGGGTTCACGACTATTATTACGAGGCACTACAAACGGAATGATACAACATTTTCTCCATCCTTTCATCCTCCGGACCTATATAAACTAAAACATTCTTTAAAACTTTGATATATTTTTCAATTTTAACAAACTTCAACTTGAACCTGACCCAAGGGACTAAAATATTAATTACTATATCATCCCTGCGGAATTTATGTTTCTTCTTCATATTACTGAACCCAGGGGGTTTCTAAAAAATTATATACCTTTTCGCCATCTAATTCTTCGAATTCGAAACTATTTTCTAGCATTTGTAAATGTTATAATAACAAAAAATTTTAGAATTTGAATATCAAAACTTTGAAATTTTAACAAATTTGGACTGGTTATAATTCCCAATAGGTGTGTGATAGTATTTCTTCCCTGATGTTCTTATATTTAATCTTTTGTTCACTTCACAGCAACTCAATGATGCCCATCACAAAGGCTGTTGCAGAACCTGCAAGAATCTACTATTTTTGCGACTTCTTGCAGTTCTGGAACAGTGTTCCTTCAATGAGCCTTCTGACCAAACAAAAGTTAATCTAAGTTTAAGAGACAAAAGAGTGTCAGCAATGATGAGCCGATATTGATTTCATAAATTTTTGAAAATCAATACAATTTATACTTTCTAGCTACCGTAACAAAGCAATGATAAGGTTGTTTTGTTACTCTTGTACTTTTTTTACAGAAGCCATGTAGTATGAAAACAAATAAAAAAGTAGGAAACATTGATAAGCATGCCGTATCCCACCACATGTTTGTCATCATAACCTTGATGATGGAGGCAAAAAACATTGACTTTGTTGCTGTTATTAAAATAGAAGAAAATATCACAACATGTTTTAATTTTCACAAATAAAAAATAAAATTAACTGAAATGCAGGTCAAAGACTTGGAAGGGGATGTAGAACAATAAAAACACTGTTTCATTTGATTATACCATTGTGGGACCAGAGCTAGTTCGATAGAAGAGCTGTGAAATATCTTCCATTAATCGAGGCCTTATAGTGGAGGGTGTAAAGGATTGCTGTCAAAGTATTTTTTTAACAGGAAAGCCATCTTTTAAATATTGGAATAATTCTGGCCAATAAATCCCACATTGAATGTGAAAAAAAATTTCGATCGAAAGTAATTTTTAAAAGCTAATTTTAGATAGACTAGAAAGAAAATGTATACAGAAACAAGTGGGATCTAATTCTTTCAATATTTATAGCCTCTTTTTATATGAAGATTCGAAAGTGACACCGAAAGAAAAAACCTCGTGTGTTGTTAAAATTTTGTTGTTTTTTTTTTTTAATTTAAAAAGTACTTTTAAATTGGCGTTTTTTCTTGCAAATTCAATTTCGTTTCGTTATATTTCAGGCCCTAATTTATTACAAATGATATTTATTCAATGTTGTCGTGTCATCGATTGTTATCAATTATCACACCTAGAGATCCCTGCCTTTAGATTTTAATCGGCTGTTACGATCAGATGCTAAGTTATCTTTTTTTCTTAAAAATAAGTCCAAGGGAAAATAAGATTAAAATAAGTCATTATTTTTAAGATATAATAACCATTATTCAAATAATAATAATAATAATAATAATAATAATAATAATAATAATAATTAAACAATAATTAAATGTGAACAAAAACCTTTTTACTTAGGCACTAACAAGAACTGCAAAAACAAAAACTTGACTTGACTAGGAAGGTTATAAAATTTCAACACCTGTTCCACTGCAAAAGTATTCAAATTCGTTTCGTTCAAAATTTTTCGATATAAAAAACAAGAATTTCAATAAAGAAAATCTGTTGAAAGTCTTCTAACTCAACAAAATTAACAGAAGATGCATGAAGTGAAGCAAGAAAGCACTTCCTGTTTTCCTCAAAACAAATTCCATGAAAGGAGGTCGAAGCAAATTTTACAATTTAAAAATGAATTGCATTATAACAACATCATCATCATCTTGATATAAACAAAAAAACTCATTCTGCAATTGCCAAATACATATATTTATGTATCCCACACTCATACACTTAATTAATAGGTCATTTATTTAACGAAACAAGGAAATTAATTCCAAAGAAAAAGAGGCAATGGCCATTTGCGCCACAACTCATCCATCCATGTGAAAATCGATGGCCTCATTCTACGCAAAATAACATGGAATTGCGTTGCATTTTGGGGAGGCTTCTAAACCAATATTTAAAAAGAAAAAATAAATTTTTAAACAAATATTTGAATTAACTTATATGTTGTTAAATTGAAATAAATATAGGAAGAGGAGCAAAAAAAAAAAAAACGCTTCATGGCCTTTAGGTTCGGTAAGTCAATGAACTCAAACAACAAAAAAGAAACGTATTTCAAATGTGTTGCTTCTTCTTGTTCTTCTTTGTTGCATTCGTATTCAAATTGTTTATTTATCTCAACCAAAAAAAAAAAAAACGAAAAGCAACAACAATGATAAACAAATTAAAATATATAGTTGGCATGTAGAGTAGAGCAGCAGGGTTTTCTATTCCATGTACGGATAAAGAGTTCTGCCTATGTGTGAACGTACATATGTATATGACGAAATTCTAGAAATTTATACTATAGGCCACCCAAAATATGTAGGCTTAACTGATTGTCTTCATTTCGATAAGACAATGCACTGAGGTTTCCTTTCTTGGCCTCTTCTTGTCGTCTTTGTGAATGAAATTTATCCAGAGACGAAAATTTTTGTGGTCGATAATAATTGGTGGTTAATTCGCTAAATGTGTGAATCACACTTGGTGGGAGGCAGAAAATGCACATTCTGTTCTTTTTGTTGGGTAAATAACCTATAGAAAAATAACCAAGTACATAAACAATAAAAAAATTGAAGGAAATTGCTCATCAGAATACACAGAGGGGAAGGTCCGAATTTGATTGAACAGTGGTGAAATTGATATTGCATCTTCGGATTTTCTATGTTGCTCCACAGACGTACCAACATTCAATACATATAGTTAAATCTTAATATTAAAAATTAATTGGTTTAAATTGCTTAATTTTTATAAACAAACAAAATTGCGCCCTTTTGCAATTAGGTTACACTAGGTACGAAAACGACCACTTAGCGTTGCCATCTTCGGAAATTATTTCTCCTAAATTTATCATGAAATATGGAATGTTCTGAGAGAAATGCCTTCATTATACTGAAAATATTTCATTTTTTTTAAATCTATATAAAAAGACTTTTCAGGAATAACGGCCTATAATACATAAGATAATTTATGTTGCATAATTCTTCGGCAGGTTTTTAGGTAAGAGGACAAACAAAGGAACAAAGGAAATTAGGTTGAACTAGTTCAAATTCGGCTCATTAAATTTCTTCGTTTTTTTTTACAATAAAAATCAGCTTTTAATGTATTCCAGAGAAAAACTTTTATTTGATTTTTATTGCAATTAGAATTTTTCTCATATACATTATCAGGCAGCCCATACCAGATATACAGAAATAATTCTTTTGAAATACTTAGTGGCCTTCTGAGGACCCTCATGTGATCTGTCATGATATCATTAATTTAAAAAAAAAAAATCCTTCTTTATTATTTGTTTCAGACTTACCTCCATGACCAAATTGACACAATCCTGTGACTCCTTGCAGTCCAGCAAAGCCACCACATTTTCATGATGCAGCTCTGTCAATTCTTTGAGAATTTTAATTTCCTTGCCCAAAAGGTTTTGGGTTTTTATTAGACCTTTTTTAGTAATGCATTTTATGGCGACCGGGAAATGTTTCTGAAAAGGAAAAAAGAAGACAAACATGAAAACATAAAAATAATGTGAAAAATGGATCCAAGGAAGTAAACACTTCATAAAAGATAAAATAACATTTAAAAATCGTACTTCCAAAGAAGATCACTTGGGAGCCCATAAAAAGGTAGTAATGTGGACTTAATCTACATCAGATTTTCCTTTTTCGTTTTTATTAATTATCTAAAAAGGTCTTGCGAGTGTTAATTCCCATAAGAAATTTGCAATTCAGCCATAGAAGATCTCTTCGGAGTTGATTTATTCTATAGAAGACCTCTTTTGAGGACATCTATTCTATAGAAGATCCCTATAGAGTTCATATATACCATAGAAGACCTCTTCGGAGTTCATATATACCATAGAAGACCTTTTCGGAGTTTATCTAATCTAAAGACCTCTTTCGAGGACATCTATTCTATAGAGGACCCCTACGGAGTTCATCTATTTCATAGAAGACCTCTACGGAGCTCATCTATTTCATAGAAGACCTCTTCGAAGGTCATCTATTCCATAGAATACCTTTTCGAAAGTCAAATTTTCCATAGAAAACCTCTTCGAAGGACATTTTTTCTCTAAAAGACGCAAATATTCCCTCTCTATCTCTTTCTCTCTGTCTTCCCTTCAGACTTCACCTACTCTATTCTAAGGAAGAACCTTTTAAAGGCTTCTAGATTCATCAATCGAAACGTAGGTGTAGCAATCCGAAACATGATAGACTTCATGGACACGCCTTTATAATTCCATTGTTTTGTTTTGTTTTGCCAAGTCAATTATTTTCCTATTGACAGGCTAGGTTGGCCGCCTGGTTGACTGGCAGGGGCAGCACCCAAACGGGCAGGCAGGCAACAGGGCCAGACGCTTATAAATTTTGCTTTGTCAACATTTTGTCTCTGTTATTCGCACTAATTCATCCATTGTTTATTTTTTATTTTTTGTTGTTTTTTTTTTGCTTTCAGTTTGTGTTTTGTTTGTTTGCTTGGCTTGCTCTAGAATCAGAGAGCATTTCCAAGTGCAGACAAACTTTGATAGGAACCATTTTTTGTTGTTCTGGCCGTCTCATTGTTATTGGGTCAAGTGTAATGAAATATGGTGGGTAATGATGATAGGGGTGCGGTGCTTGCTGACTGGTTTTGATATCAACGAAATCGATGAGAGATCTAATTAATTTGTAGTTGTTATGTGGCAGCTATTAGGGTTGGCAAAAAAGAGCAAGTATTTGGGGCTTCGATTATAGGAAACAATAACGACAACAAAGTTTTTGGTAAATTAATTGGAATATTATTTAAAATTGTAAATTATGTTAAAAAAAACTCCATAATGACCGATTATTTATGAATTCCTGTATCAATAGGTTTTTTTTAAATAAAAAATATTAATAGAATAACGCAAAATACTACTAAATACTAATAAAGATAAATTGCGGATTTTATTATTATTTTTATTTCTAGTAGCATTATCATTATTTGTTAATATTTGTTATTTGTTATCAAAATAGATTACAAAACTCCCTCTATACCAACATTTAAAAAAAATCTCCATATGGGATCCCTTAAACATTGCCGCCTCTTCCCCCATAATAAGTAACGTATCATTTTTTTTAAAATGAAATTCCAAACCAGGAGAAGTTTCCCATGACTCATCCGATATTAAAATAATAACAACAATTTTGCACTCGTGTCCCACATATTTAACTAACCTATCTCTTGTAAGTTTAAATGAAATTATAACAACGGCAACGACGATACGGATGTCAGATTATTGTTCTAGCCCCCATTTGTTGACTTAACCCATTACATTGCCTGTTTCTTTGTTCGCTATTACCTTTCTTTTTTTCGCTTCGTTTTGTTAATTACAGTTTACTTATATACGGATATGTAGGTATATGTGTGGTAAGGTAAATATGTACATTGCAGAAGTAATCGGAACACAAGCAACAGTCGTTCCGCCGCCAAGTAATGCCAAACAGCAGAATCAGGAATGGCAAAAGACAAGAAGACAAAAAGAATACATTTCATTAGTTTATCATATGTTCGCGGTATTGTAAATTACTCAATGGTTTTTCAAATGTTTAATTTTAAAATTACAATTTACGCATTAGCGGTAGTTACATACATTGTAACGGATGAGTGAGGGCTATAATAGGCCATGTCGATAATGTAAAAAGGCTATAAAATACCTCTTGGAAGGCATTGGATACAATACAGGGCACCTGTAGAGGAAATCCTTTCTTTAAAAGACATCCATAGGGGTAATCAATTCCATAAATAACCTATTCAGAGGTCATCGATTCTATAGGGACTTCTATTGAGTTCTTCTACTCAGGTCGACCTTTTCATAGGCGACCTTTACGGATGTACTTTTTGTAAAAAAGACGTCCTTAGAGGTCATTTATTCTATACAAGATGTCCTTAGAGGTCATTTATCCTAAAGACGACCTCTTGATAGGTCATTTATCCTAAAGACGACCTCTTGATAGGTTATTTATCCTATAGACGACCTCGTGAGAGGACATCTATTATATAGACAACCTCTTGAGAGGTCATCTGTACTATAGACGACCTCTTGAGATGTCATATATTCTATAGACGACCTCTTGAGAGGTCATCTATTCTATAGACGACCTCTTAAGAGGTCATCTATTCTATAGACGACCTCTTGAGAGGTCATCTATTCTATAAACGACCTCCTGAGAAGTCATCTATTATATAAGAATTAATATTGTTGTTTTTTCTAACATTTTCAGAGATTTAATTTTAAATTTGTGAATCTCACTTTTTTCTTTCATCTAATTTTAATTTTTTTCGCCCTAAAATAAGAAGTAATATATCCCTGGAGTAAAAATACTGCCATAAAATTTTCCACCAAACCTGCAAAAAACGCGAACGAAGACGCGTGTGTGCACTCAAGTGACAAATGTCCAGATGTCGGCGGTATGTCGTCGGTGAGTGCGGTAGATGATTTTAATGCAAATATAAATTACTTTCTGTGCATTCATTAAGCAATACATTTTACCCTCGAGATTGCAATATAGCTGTCTGTCTGTCGGTCTGACAGTCTATGGCTCTCGTTCTAGTTGTCGTCATTCGCGCCACTCACAAAAATAACAACAAAAATACGTTTTGTCGCTCGTTCGTTTGCCATGTGTGTGCGTTTTGGTATTTTTAAAACGCAAAAATATATGGTTTCTACTGCGGGCTTTTGTTTTTGTTTCGAACACGTGGAGGGAGACAGACTCCTCTCCCAACAAAGGCAGCAGCACCCTACAACACTACTGGTGTCTACCAGCCGAATGCAATCTCAACAGCGCCGTAGTGAAGTTGCTATCCTATTAATAAATATAAGGAATATGGATGGATGATGTGGAGTCGTCTCATGCAATAGGGAACATATTTTTAGAACAGAACAACAAATCTGTGGGCCATAAAACTTGAAAGACTAGAGAAAAATACAAATCTGAAATATATTATTAAAGGAGTATATCTTTCGAAATGAAGCAATGACGATCCTTTCTTTTGTGTTGAAATGATCTTTGTTTGCTGATATCTTAAACAGATGCTATGGCATTTGTGGGTATTAAAATACTCTTTTGGCTGTATTTACACTTGCCTCTTCCAGAAAATGTTGTGTTATTGTCATGCAATGTATTTATACATTTTGATTTTTTCTGGACTTGCAAGCCAAATATTTTCACAATTCATTCATTAATTTCTTTAAAAGTTCATTGATTTACTTTTTGAATCAAAAAGACTAAGGAAGGTGTTGGAAAATGTGGTATCTTTGGAATCTATTATGGGCTATAAATATAAACTGCATAGAAGAGCTCACCTATTCTATAGACGAACTCTACTGAGGTTATCTATTTTATAGAAATCATCTTGATAGGCCATATATTATATAAACGATCTCTTCTGTGTTATTCTTCTCCAAAGACGATCTCTATAAACTATATTTATATTTCCTTAGAAAAATACATATTCCGAACTCCGACGAAATTTTTCATTTTCTAGAAGAAGATGATATATCAATCATCTGTTCTCTAGACGATCTCTTCAAAATAAATCTGTGTTATATACGACTTATTTGAAGTCTATAATTCCATAGAAGACCTCTTCCGAGGTCACAATATTTACTTTTCCACAGAAAATACACAAATCAAATAAGAAAATTGCATAATTTCGGTTATGTACTTTATACTATATCTCAATTTTCTAATAATAATATTCTACAGCGACATAAAATTTCTGTTTGATACCGACCCCAACCTCACACCATAAATTGATCTTAATATTGCAATAATCAGCATTCTCCTTATTATACCACCACTTTCCACAGGTTCCTCCACCTCCACTGCTCCCCATTACATGGTCAACAATTAAAATGAAAGTGTTTTGAGAAATAAAAATTTCATTATCATCTGGAATTGAAGGCAGAAAAAAAATAATCCCCACACAATATAAATTTCATTACAAACAATTGACATTGTTATCGGCATATGCCGGTTCTGGTGGCGTCGGCTTCATAACAACTGACCGGGAGGGAGTTCAATTACATTGTTGTTTCTCGTCTCTGTCACACGGTCGGTCTATTGTGATAGCCTTTCTCCTAACAATAATAAAAAACAAGAGAAGGTTAATAAATTATTAATAAAAAATACGTTTTTTATTACAATCCGGTTTTAATCTGAAAGGTGATCACAAAGAAAACCTCTTTGAAGGTCTTCCAAAGCTAGGAAGGAATGCAAAAATTCAGCCCTATCATCAAAGCCACAGAAAGCATTTTTCTAGAGGGATCATTCCTCTAGTCATTAATAACGGCAGGAATTATTAGTAAAGATGGCAACGCTAAGGGACTTTTTCGTACCTTGTGTGCCCTATTCGTTTTGCTGACAAAGACCTTGCTGTTTGGTGCAAATTTAACGTGTTTTATTTTTTAAAATAGCAACTAATTTCCAATACGTGTGTTGAATGTTGGAGCCACATAGAAGTTTGAAAAAACAATCTTATACTACAAAATTCGCCAATGTTTCTAAGCAAATACCAATTAATACGGTTATATAATTTGATGCAGCCAAAATGTGCCTCCTCGAAATAACGGTTTTAGACTCTAGATCTCTCTGGAACAAATCCGTTTCGGGACATTTGGAGTCGATCTTGCGATGTCCATCCGTCTGAATAATAATGGTATCTCATATAAAGCATAGCAAGTAGACGATATAGTCCAAATATGACACATTTTAATATTTATATCAGACTTATTTATAACTCAAGGCTAGGTGTATACATTTGTCCACAAAACCGACTGATACTATTTATTTACTAACGGGCCATTTCAAAGCATGAATCTAAATTGAACAAGGATGTGTTCATAAGGGTTATTTATTAGATATTATCTATTGCCGCAGATTCAATGCAGTTTTCTGAATTTCATGTTTTTTTCTTCAACAAAACTTTGCCATAGCTCTTAAAAAATTACCCTATATTTAGAAGAAGTCATTCGCTTCCCTCGGGTTTCGATCCCTACATTACTTATTTTTATTTGGATAATAAAATATCTTCAAAAAGTCAGACCTTTTTTCCCCATAAACTGCATTCGCCCTCGTATCTTTCGGTATCAGAAATCAATACTGTTTGTGCGTTAAAAAATATCAAAAAATAATAAAAAATACCAGTTACCACCAAATGGAAATGTAAACAAAACCAAAAAATAAAACCTGGCCATAACTGGGCGTTTTGTTTCTGCTGGTCAACTGGTAGCCGCATGAAAGAGCAGCAGCAGCAGAAAAAACAAGCACAACAGCTGATGATGATTATGAACTTGTTAAGAAACAATAACAACAAAAAAGAAAAAAATATACAGAAGATAAAATCAATACAAAACCCGAAACTAAAGACAACAAAAATAAATAAAAAAAAGCAAAAAAAAAAAAAAAAAAACATTTTGAAAGTAAAATTAAAAATCAGCTGATGAAATTTGTAAAGAAATTTAAGTGAGTTTTGTCTTTAGCTTGTTTTCTGATCGAAAGGGGGAAAATGGGAACACAACGCGTGTGTGCTGTTTTTTTCGGTTATGAGGTGTTTGTTTTGTTTTTTAAATTTTTGAATAAATTGGGATCATTAATGGGAACATTTAATTGGTAATTGAGAAGAATTTTTCAAGCGATTTCAAGTTTTGAATTTAAGATAAAATGAAAAATGGAGATAGAATAACCGAAGAAATTGAGCCACCATACAGGGTGAGATGAAAAAACCGCAATCAACTTCACTGCCGTCATTTCTAAACCACTCGTCCGACAGCTGTTAAAATTATTCCAGTGACAGCTCATTTGTATTGTTTCCAGAAAAAAAAGTTCTTCGTAATGGAATTCAAGCGTGAGAGTGTGATTTATTTTGTCTCTCGTACCATTGCTCGTTACCTTGATACTGGTAGCGTAGCCCGATGCCAGAAGGAAGTGGACGGAAGAAAACAGCAACATCAGCAGAAATGATTCGAAAAGTAAAGAAGCGACTTGATTGAAACCCGCGTCGCAGTGGAAAAAATTGCTCGTGAGCTGAACATATCGCAATCTTCCATTCGTCATATATTGAAAAATGAGCTCGAGGTTCCTCGTTTCATTTGCAGTGCCCAATGACCACCAAAATCTCCGGATACCAATCCGTTGGACTATTGTGTCTGGAATACTTTAGAAAGCAAGGTTGGCACTAAAAAATACCAAAGTGTCGATCACTTCAAGCAAGCGCTTCGCCGGGAATGGACCAAAATACGGCAGAGCAACATTCGGGCAGCGTGTGAGGGTTTCATTGAAGGCCCTAATTCGTGCCAAAGGTGAGCAATTTTAAAAAATCTAAACTTATTCTAAAATTTGATGCTATTTCCGACATTTTTTGCTTTCATTCAATAAAATTTAGAAAAAATATTTAAAAATTATGGCGTTTAAATTTGCTGCAGTTTTTTTGTCTCACCCTGTAGTTTTAAAAAACTTTAAATCTAGAAGATTAAGTCTCGTTGAAGGGGATTGTGTTGGATATTGCAAGGGTTTTTGATTCCACGGAAGAAATCTTAGAATGGAATAAATTTCCTCTTGAAGGCAACGCTCACAAGGCGAAATAAAAGAAGAAACTTGATTTAGGCCTTGCATTGGCATCTGCAACCGCTTTTGAACTCCAAACTCAGATGTTGTTGTCCAAATTTCAAAAAAAAAAAAAAAAAAAAAAAAATCTTATAATTCCCAACCAAAATTCGTTGCAGTTTTTAAAACTGGTTGTTTGAAGAGAGGAGCCTATAGACAAGTTTTTCTAACGTTGCCTTTTCCTACCACCATTTATATAATTAGTTAGTGGAAAAACTTGATGTTTGACATTTTCAAATCATGAATATGAATATTTTCAATTTGGAAATGAATATTCAAAAGAGCAGCATACCAGTTTCCCCCAAGAAAAAGGGAGGAAATGGAGTGAATAAGTGTTGGGATAACTTAAAACAAATAAAGGGCCCTTTATATACCCTCTATCATATGGGAAGTTAATCATGTAAAAATATGTCTCTAGATGCCAAAATTCCAGTATTCACTTCTGGGAGTATCCAATCCAAATTTCATACAATTCAGTAAAAAAAAGTTGGTTACAATCATCAGAATACCTGTCATCCTTTTTATAATAAAACAAACTCACTTCACCAGAGTTTGCCACATTAAAAAATGCATTATTAAATAATACTACCCCCCATATACTTGACAATACAAAAGAAAAAAAATTACAATCCGTTTTAATTATAAACATAACACACCACACCATACCCGGCTTATTTACTTCCCATATTCGGAATAACTTTTAATTACAATTCATTAACAAATGTGGTACTCAAGTTATTTTAAATTCATAACGTTTAAAAATACAATTTTTTTGCAAAAAAAAAAACAAATAAACCTCGAGCCAAGACGAATGACAGACAGCGAATTAACACCTACAAAAGTTTCAGACGAATACAAACAGAAAACGATCGAATGGCGGCGGGTTGGGCGGTAAATTGGTCTAGCTTTGTGGCTATTGAATGGAATTTCAAAAGTCCATGCTTTGTTGATGGTTAAAAGTAAATATAAAAATAAAGTATTTTTTGTTGTGGCCGTTTGTTTGTTGATATGCTCTACGAAATGAATTCTAATCTTCGTGTCGTAATCCTCGCCTACCCTCCCACACCCCACACCACAAGCATTTATGCATAAAATACCCATTAGTGATTATGTATAGATAGCTATATATATTTCTATATACAATTTCATGCAAATATTTAGAATTTCAAGCACAAAGCAAAATAACCAAAAAAAGAGCAGCAAAACAGAAATCGAAATAAAGAAACGAATTTAAGACAAAAGAGAAATATAAAAATAAACAAAAATGAATTCAAATAAAACAAAGAAGAAAAGACGCTGTTTAGTTTCCCCAAACTATTGAATAAACAAATAAAGAATCTAGAACGAAAGGTGAACTATAACTATTTAGATAAGAATAGAATGTGAATGCGTAAAAGTACATTTTTTATTTTGTTTTTATAAGCGTCTCGTTTTGGGGACATTAAATGCGCAATTTATTGCAGCGAGGTGGCGGAGAGTGAATCATAATTAACAAAATCAACTATAATGTCGAATTAAGTGAATTAAAAATTTGTTTGTCAAAAGACTTATTGCAAAAACTTTCAAGGCAACTATTTTCATTGGCGATCACACAAATAAAATGGGTAAATAATTTTCCCATTCGTTTTCATTTAAAGTAGTTTGACCCAATTTAGTGATATGACATCGTTTGACGGATTTGTAGAATTTTTTTTCTTTAATTCCCATTAATTTGACCATAATATTCCTCTAGAATCCGGGCTTTGATTAACAACTAGCATTATCTACTTGACCTGTGATTTATTTTTGTTTGGAAAAGCGATCCATGGGCAAAGATGATCACAGGACGAATTTCTAGCAGAGAAAATGATCACATATTCATAATTTTCAATAGAGTAGCTGAACCTTCCTTTTCTAAAGAGTAAATGAATCCTGGATTCATTTTCTTTAGAATAGATGAAGTACATGAAGCAAGGTCTCGATTTCTTTTGAGTAAATTTTGCCAGGGTTCATTTTCTATGTTGTATTAGTAGCAGTGTTCATGGTGGCTATCATGACTTTCAAGATTCTTATGTTTTATTTGCATGCCATACCAAAGCTCTACTGTTTCTATAAAAAATGGATCTATATTCCAATAAGCTGAATTACATTCCTACAAAGAGTCATAATTAATCAAATGCATTCATGTTTTAACTTTTCATAAGAAATTTCCACTTACTTCTCTCCAAATGGCTAATATTCCTCACTTGAATAGCTTCTCGGTATCATTTTCCGCTACTAAACCCATCGAGTCGTTTAAAAAATAAAATTCTTTCAATTTCAAGTTCTTGCAGTCCCTAATTTTCTTTCATTAATGCAAATTTTTGACATTTCCTAAATCCCATTGCCACTTGAATTGCAAAGAGAACCATTAATTCTCACCCAGGCATAAAAGCACACAACTACAATTTCTCTCAGGTGGTTTCTCATTATTGCAATTCATTTTCATGGACTAACAACAGCAACAAAAAACAATAACAAACTGCATACATAAAATGCCCAGCAACAATTTACAGTTATTTGCAAATGTCCAAGGCAAACGAAAGAGCTCCACTAAAAAAACACACCAATGCAATGGAGCTAGCCAAGCACTCATTTATGAGGGAGTAAAGACAGGAGAATGACAATAAAGAGGGAGAAGAACGAAAAATTATGCATTTTATTTACCTTGCGATGACGTCCTTTGTAGACAACGGCAAAGGCGCCATGGCCCAGCATATCCTTCGAACTATACTCATAATCGCCGACAATATTCATTGCATATGACTGAAAATTACAATGGTTGGCGGAGAAGCAGACAGCGGCGCAAACGGCAGCAGCAACTTAATATTCCACAAACTTGTTTGTTATTGTTGGATCTTTTTAAATATTCTCAATTTCTGTTAATAAAAACACTAAAATTCTTTTTTATTTGGCAACTACTTTTTTTGTATTACCCAAGAAGTTTGCCACACTAGGAGCCTTTGTGTCTAATAAAGTGGAATTTTCTTTGCTTTTTTTAATTGGCAGAGCTTAGCAAACAAACAAATGCACCACAGCTCAAGTTATATACAGAGACGAATAGACGTCAACGGCGAAACACATAAACACACGCACTCACACACACACTCTTTATATATACATATGTATTATATTTATTTTTCTGCACTTTTTTTCCTCGGTACGACAACGATATTACAGCTGTTAGATGGCTGGTTGGGGAAAATCAATTTTCAAGGGTTCTTGTTCGGCCAGTATCCACCATCAGAAGAAAATCGTCGTATACAAAATATATATTTTTTCCGTTCTCTGCTTAGCAAGTTAGAGAAAACTTGTTTTTTTTCTGAATTTATTAAATGGTAGAAAAAATAGCTATTCACTCGTTTATTTTGTGTATTATTTGTTGGCTGGCTTTGTAATAAATTATTGTTTGGAAAACTTTTTTTCTTTCTACGTAATTTGTTACTCTTCGTTTCGTCTTGTATTTGTACGTCGTCGTGAGCAAAAATAGTTAGAAAATTTTGTAATTGTTTAGCCGTCCAAAAACAACAATTTACTTCAACTTTAGGGTAATTTTTGTTTTTGGTTGAAGTGTTATTCTTTGCTTCCGAGCGCAGCGCTTTTTTGTTATTAACTTTAAACTTTAGTATAAATTAATTTCTCACAGACTGATACGAATGAATGAGATGATGTCTCATGCTTCTTCTTCCAGCCTATTTGACAATTGAGTTGAAAGTGCTACCTAAACTGAAGGCATGTAGAACTGCAATGCAACAGGAATGAGGGTGCTTCACATTGGGAGATTTTTTCAGTTTTATACCAAATACATAGAAAAATGTTTTTCTTTTTCAAAAAAACACTTTCTAAGCAAACAAATAAAACGTAGCATATTATATAATAATATTAAATATTTCTCGTGGTATAACGTTTTCAAAAAGTACCAAAAATTGAGAGATCATTTTAAATATCGACATTTTATTAAATATCTTTGTTCCATATGAACTAAAATTAAAATAACCTTTAAAAAGGGCGATTCGCATTGTAGCCTTGATTATCATACAGGTATTAAAAAATCACACTCGAATTCTGTACCTATAATATCAGAGGAATAAGCATTGAGACCTTGACAATCGCTTTATATAATGTTTGCATGGACTGGAACAATGGACCAATTTTGAAATTGAAAATTTTGAATGAAAAGTTATTGAAATTTGTAAAAAAATTTTGAAAAGGTATATCTAAATAAAAATACATATCGTGTAAGAAAAATTATAAAAATCTACTCATTTTTGTCAAAAAGTTGAAAAAATTTTTTTTGACATATCAATACTTCCATGCGTTGATGCATCTACCAGTATTTTTCACCCATGAATCTTTTTTCTTAAGTATTTTTCAAATATTTGCCAATACTACAATAATAAAGTCCTTGGTCCCAGACGGGATCCTTACAGTAAATTTTAAAACAGCATAATCGTCAAAAATGTTGGTCCTGTTTACAACCAATTACATTAATCGCAGGATGTGGTCTATGAGTGTCCGACCCCAACACATTACAAAAAAGACAGGCGATTACTTATTTTAGTAAAAATGTGTGAAATTTGTTATGATTTATTGTATTACCAAACACACCTTATGTTAGCAGAACTGAGAATGTTTGTATGTAAACATATATCAGCTGATTATCATAACGAATAACATAAAGATCGATGTAAAAACTTAATTTAACATCGAAATCATTAAATTTTTCATGTAAATGTGTAACAAACCAAAATAACGGAATGAACTAATTGAATAAAATGAACTTAAGAAACTAGTTAAACGTGAACACTTGACAAAGTCCCTTTGGTTCCTTTTACAGAATAATTGCTTTGAACTACTTCGTTTCGGGAACGACAAAGACCAGAGAAAAAACGTCATCGCTTTGGAAAAAATTAAAAAATATTATATTTCGCAACTCCGTATTAAAAAATTAATAATCATTTATCACCACAAAGATGGGCGACAATGAGGAAAAGGCATTACAGCTTATGGCAGAAGCTGGAAAGAAGTTAACACAGCAGAAAGGTTTCTTTGGAATGTTATTTGGGTTTGTATACCAGTTCATGTTTTTTTTGTTTGCTTTATAGTGAATAATAGAAATATTGATTAAATGTGCGTTTTATATAGTATTAATAGATGGCGATTGTTTGTTTAAAGTGTCATTTTTTGTTGCAATTACTTGTGCCTTTGTTCGAAGACAAAGTGACCCCATCGAATCAAAACTGCTGGGTTGTCGTGTCTTATTGGGAAATTGGAATTTCATAATGGAAGAGGTCGGTGGGAGGGGGTAGATGATATGATTTCACATATTATATGAGTGTATTTGTTGCAATGCAAATCAGGAGGTGTTAATAGTAAGGGTCAATTTTGTTATTGTCCGGCAAGTTAATATTTTTTAGGTATAAAGTTCACAGGTTACTTAAGGAAGGGAATCAAAAATTACATTGGATTTTTCAAAAAGTCTCGTTAAATTAAATGTGTAAATGTCTTTTCATAAATGTCTGTTTAATTTAAATTCATTTTCTATTTTTCCAGTGGATCCAACAAGGTAGAGGAGGCCATCGAATGTTATCAACGTGCTGGCAACATGTTTAAAATGTCTAAAAACTGGACGAAGGCTGGTGAATGTTTCTGCGAGGCAGCAAACTTACATTCCCGTGGTGGAAGTCGTCATGATGCTGGCATTGCTTATGTCGATGCATCCAATTGTTATAAGAAGGTATGTCATCAAACATTTGAGAATGAAACTTTCAATTTCATTAATTTTTTTTTCTTGTAGGTCGATGTTGAAAGTGCCGTTGCATGCCTCCTAAAAGCCATTGATATTTATACCGACATGGGTAGATTTACAATGGCCGCCAAATATCACCAAAGCATTGCTGAAATGTATGAAAGTGATCCGAATACATTGCATCAGGCCATCGAACAATATGAAAAGGCAGCCGACTATTTTAAGGGTGAAGAATCGACCAGTTCGGCCAATAAATGTATGCTGAAAGTGGCCCAATATGCTGCCCAATTGGAGGACTACGAAAAGGCCATTAATATTTATGAACAAGTAAGGCAGCGATAATTGTCAGAAAGCTATACAAAGACATCACAACCTGAGGGGGAAATAAGGAAAAATCAATGGCTGGTAGATGAGAAAATCTTTTTACAAAAGATTGCCTATTCTTATAGGAATAGGTCTTTCATTAGGATGTTTTTATAATGGTTTCTTCGTTTGGATCTTTGGGATGTCTCCAAATGACTAATAACCCTTTGGGTCTAGGAGAGAGATGTTATCTGTAGAAGACCTTTAAAAGCAATTCTTAACAAATGAATAATGAAAAAGTAGGGCATTCCGAAAATTATAGAAATTTATCAACAATTCAGATCCAGAGAGGAAGATTAGTGGAAGACTGGTAGACGACAGAATCTTTCAAAAAAGCGAAAATCATAATGATGTCTCCTATGAACAGAAGACCTTCAAGATATTTTCTATGAGTAGAAGATCTTTATTATGATTTCTTCATAGAGACCCCAGTTTGTCTTCCAGGGCTAAAACGTTTTGAGGTCTGGGAAAGAGATTTCAAAGTCCCTTAAAATGTCTTCTTTATAAAGGAGATATTTGGAAGGTCTTCAGGCCAAAGAGGAATTTGTTTTTAGTATCAATTAGTCTCTATATTGGCCGGCAGTAGAATGTAGAAACCATAAAAAGTAGGGAGACATTTGGAAGATCATCTGTCTCAAGAGACATCTATTTTTAGTATAAATAGCCTCAGTATTACCAGCAATTCAGAAGGCAAAACCCGTAAATAATCAAAGTATTTAAAAATCGTTTTCCCATTATAGGTTGCCGCCTCCTCCTTGGAAAGTTCATTGCTCAAATACAGTGCCAAGGATTACTTTTTCCGTGCTGCCTTGTGTCACTTGAGCATTGATTTGTTGAATGCCCAACATGCCATTGAAAAATATTGTCAACAATATCCAGCTTTTCAGGATTGCAGGGAATATAAATTGATTAAGGTAAGTCTTAATTTTCGGCACATAAAGAAACATTTAAAAATTATTTTTCGTTTTAGGTACTTTGTGAACATTTGGAAGATCAAAATATCGATGGTTTCACCGATGCCATTAAAGACTATGACAGTATCTCGCGATTGGATCAATGGTATACCACAATATTGCTGCGTATTAAAAAGGCCGCCGATGATAGTCCAGATCTGCGATAAAAAGTTAACTATCCATGGATAGTCTATTTCGATTAATTTATATTTCCTAAGACACACATGCTGTTCTGCTCCTTTTCCTCCTTTTTTTAACAATTTGTAGCCATTTGAGGTGTGTGGAAGAAAGAAAGAAAGAAAGAAAGAAGAAAAAACAAATACCGAGAAATTTAAAGTAAAATTCATTTACAGTAAATGAAGAATCCCGTATCCCCAAGATATAAATAAAAAATAGATTATATTTAATTTTTTTTAAATAAATATATATATATATAAAAGTCCAATTTCCAGAAATTTATATACCGATTTGTTAATGCGCTAAAATGTATTTAGTTTCTTTTTTTCATTTGTTTTTTTTGTTAATTTTTTTTTTTTATATACAATTGATTATTAATAATAAAATATGGTATAATTGTTTTACACTTTTACAAAACGTAATAATACTAAAAAACGCACAACTTATTTATGGATAAACTAAATATAAATAACAGATATTAGTATATAGAATTAGTGGATAATAAAGCTTTTTATTATAAGCCTAAATGTGAAGTTTTAAAAGGGAGTTTCTGCAATGAATTGAAATATCATTTCACGGATTTTGGCTACATTTTTGAGCCGCAAGAATTCAATGAAAATAAAATAAGTTAAAAAGCAGTAGCCGGGTCGAACTTTGAATATCCCCCACCATTTGGAACGAATTTGGCAATTTAACAAAAAAGAAATAAAATCCGTTAAAAATTCTACTAAAATCTTAAAAATATCGAATATAGCCGTTATATTTCGGTCTATACGACGTGGACCAACTTACCTGTCACAGACTGTAGTCCCCATTACAAACTCTAAATACGTAATTTGAAACAATTCCGGTGAATAATGAGGATAAAATCATCAAAATACTGAATATAGGGAGGTATCGTTATATGGGGGTTATTTAAAAACGTGGACCTGCAAAGACAATTTTCTGTCTTAGGCTGTAGTACCTATAACGAACTTCAAATACCAAATTTGAAACAATTCCGGTCAATAATGTCGCAAAAATTATCAAAATACCGAATATCGTGAGGTATCGTTATATGGGGGCTATACGAGGACTTGGACCTGCATACAAAAATTTTTGTCATAGGCTGTAGTACCCATAACGAACATTAAATACGAAATTTAAAGTAATTCCGGCAAATAATGTCGCTAAAATCACGAAAATACCGAATATCGGGAGGTATCGTTGTATGGGAGCTATACGAAAACGTGGACCGACATGGCCCATTTACGAACTAAACCTGCCTACTGGTAAACTATGCATGTAGCAAAATTTAAGCCTTCCATCTCCATTCGTTCGAAATATAGCGTGATTACAACAGACAGACAGACGGCCAGACAGACGGACATCTCTAGATCATCTTAGAATTTTACGCTGAGCTAGAATATATACACTTTCATGTATCATGAATATTTCGAGGAGTTACAAACGGAATGACAAAACCCTCCATAGAATGGTGGAGGGTATAAAAACATTCGCGGAAGCAATAAAAATTAGTAAGGCTCCCATATTTGGTGTATTATCTTGGAAAGGATCCCATGCTTGGAGCTTGGAAATTTACAAAACTACACGAATCCAAAACAAAATGGTCCCATGTTTTGGTAGTCGAATGAACTGCCTGTAGAAATTAAACCTTTGCCATCTGTTGGGCTAAAAATGCATAGAGCTTTCTTTGTCTTCACTGTGATAGCAAGCTCTTTTCCTCTAACTTACAAAAAAGCTCAAGACAACTCACCACAGAATAAAAGCTAGCCAAAACAAAACAAAACTTGTGAGAGCTTTCTGTCAGAAAAATTCCAAAGAGAAAACAACTTTTCAAACTCTCTTATTTGTCAGAGATTGTGAACAAAGAGAATACTTTAAATATCTCTTCTCTTTGAGGCTCCCCAATAAATTGGGGCTCAATTTGATTTCATTTTGTTGTCACCGAAAGAGAAATTGGACCTGTTGTTGTCACCTGCATAAAGAGAGAGCGAAATCATTGAAGATAATTATAATTGGCTGTTTGGAAATTAATAAAATTTATTGTTTAACTTGCTACGCGTAAAAATGAGCATGCGTGACCATCTATTTTCAAATTAGCTGAAAGTTAATAGAATAGCCATAACTTTTAAAAAAGTCTATTGGTTTCAATGGGGAGTAAAAGTTAATAAAACAACCATAATTTTAAAAATTATATTGGTTTCAATGGGGCCTATTATTGTTTTTTTATTGTAAGTTTTACAGGCGAACTTTATTTTTTTTTTTTGAAATAAGGAGCAAGATAATGACTCTTATTTAATTTGAAAGTCAATTTTTTTTCCGTTGCATAAAACAGCCAAACAAAATGTAACGAATTTGTAATTAGTGGGTTAATGAAATATGCGGAAATTTTTCGAAGACTACTTCAGAAAATTAGGGCACAACAAAAGTGCAAAGTTGAAAAAAAAAATGTAAAAGCCAAAAATTGTCAAGAGATTTTTTTTGACAGAAATTTAAAAAAAAAAAAAATATATATATATATATATATATATATATATATATATATATATATATATATATATATATATATATATATATATATAATAATTTAAAAAATTAATTTTTACTGGGAATTTTTAGTATTTTCTTTTTTGGGGAATATTAAAATAACTTTTTTAATAAACAAACGTTGTTTTTATAAAAAAACAACAATAATGGGATTAAGACAGATTATTTTGCAACAACAAAATACTATGGTATCCCGAACAAACATGCCAACACTGTTCCAAAGATATTATATTTTTTTAGTCATTTATAATATTCTCAGTCATTTGGCTACAGAGGGTCAAAACGTACCTCATCGAAATAGCCGTTTTAGACCCTAGGTCTCTTTGGACCACATTTGTTTCAGGACATTTAGAGCCGACCTAGGGGTGTTCGTATGTCCGTTCGTCTGGATGGCTGGCCCACACGATTACTCTTGAAGGGATTGTCTGATTTGGTCCAAACTTGGTACATCGTAATAATATCATCAAACTTGGATCAAGTTCGAAGATGGACAATATCAGTCTACGTTTTCTGGTACCTCCCCTGCAAAAGGTCAACATTATCACAGAAAATAATGTACCTTTTAGAACAAGAATGGATCGTGCAATTTTGTAGAAACATCAGAAATCGTAGAATTTTCATCAGTGGTAGGTCAGGTGCCAAAATGGACAATATCGGCCCACTCCATTAAGTACCTACACCACAAAGGGTCAAAATTCTGAATAATTATAACTCATATAAAATGTGAAATAAAAGTCGGATTATTTTCATATTTCGCATATCCCAATATTTTAACGAACTCCAGGTTTTGTATGAAGATGGGATGGATCAAGTCACTCCTTTTGGCACCTCCACCACAAAGTGGTAAAAGTTTTGAATAACCAAAACTCTTTTAAAATGCGAAATAAGCATCAAATTCTCTTCAAATATCGCTCATTCCAATATTTTTTTCAACACAAGATTTGGTGAGATGATGGAATATGTAGGATCACTTCTTCTGGTACCTCCCCACAACGGGTCAACATTTTTGAATAATTATAACTCTCATAAAATGTGAAATAAACATCCGATTCTCTTCAACTTTCACACATCCTAAAATTTTTTTCAACACAAGATTATATGCGAAGATGGTAGATATTAGACCATTCCTTCTGGTAGCTTCCCCACACAGGGGTCGAAATTTTGAATAATTATAAGTCTCATAAAATGCGAAATAAGCATCCGATTCTCTTCAAATTTCCCACATTACAATATTTCTTCCTACACAAGATTGAATGTGAAGATGGCAGATATCGGACCACTCCTTCTGGTAGCTCCCCCACAAAGAGGTCAAAATTTTAAATAACCAAAATGCCCATAAAATGTTATATAAGGATTCGATGCTCTTCAAATATCACACATCGTAATATTTCTATTAACACAAGATCTGACGTAAATATAGTATATACCGGTTCACTCCTTCTGGTACCTCCCCCACAACGGGTTAAAATTTTTGAATAATTGTAACCCTCGTAAATTTTGAAATGAGCATTCAACTCACTTCAAAGATAACTCATCGCAATAATTTTACAAGCACAACATCTTCTGTGAAATTGGGGTGTATCGGCCGACTCCTTCTGGTACCTCCCCCACAAAAAGCTTAAAACTTTAAAAAAATTATTCGCATAAATTTGGATATAAATGTTAAATTTTCTTTAAATTTTGCACATGCCAAAAATTGTTTATCAGTATTAGATGAATTAGAATGGAAAAAGAAATATTTCGGTCCGCTATATCTGGTACCGCACACGCACATTTCAATATTTTCCAAAAATCATCACATGTCTCACATTAAGTAAAGGAAGTAGATATAGTCCAGATTTTCCACATGGTAATATGTTTTAGATCAAATACGAAAAGGAAAATATTGACCTCGTTCTCGTTCGGATCCACCCCCTAAAGGGGTCAACTGTTTGAATCATCAAAACGCAAGTCATTTAAGCAAACGGCCTTTTGCAGAGCGTACACATCTGAAGGAAATATTGACTGATGCCTTTTATTTATTTTTAAATGATTTTAAAGATCAATTTTTTTAGTTGGGATTTAATTTTTTTTTGTTAATTTATATATTTTTTAAGCTTTTATTACTTTTTTAATTAAATACTTTCTTTAGATTTATTTTTCTTTTATTTTCTGCTAGCTCCAAGTATTAACACTCTCTGCATCATTTTGTGAGAGTGATGACATTTGCATGGCGTTGCCATATCTCAATTCTTTCTATTCGTTAGTTGGGGGAATTTCTCTAATAACTAAAATATGTCGTTTTTTCATTATATTGATAAAAATAAAATAACAATTTGTTTTTTTCCAAATTTTTGTGGATATTTTTGGATAATTTATTAATTATATCTTACGATTGCTAACTGTGTGAACAATTAATTATTTGCTAACAGACACATTACTTGTTCTACGAGCAATAAAAAACAAATTCAAGCAAAAAAAAATATCATTAACAAAACCCAGCAGTGGCAATAGCAACATCAACAATGGAGATGACGATGGTGATGATGATTGTTTTTTTTTTTTGTTGGCGATAATTGTTTTTAAGGCGTAAGCACGTTCTCCATGTCAGTGTGTGTGTCTGTGAGCGTTTTGAAACAAAAAATATACCACATTTCCTATAAATAAAAAAAAATTGTTAATAAACAATTTAATCTGACACGTGTACTTTATGTGTGGTGGTGTTGATGTTTTGAAAGA